TTTTAATCAATAATTAATAAAATCTATTATACTTCATCCATCATATATTTAAAAAATAAATAATAAAATAGTAAAATAACTTTTAATTATGAATATAATACAATATAATTCAATATAATTACAATTACAACTACAATTATAACATTTCACAACAATTTCAAATCCACCTTAATATTAATAAATTTTATTAATTAAATTTTAAATTCGAATCTTATCCACTACCCCCCTTAATCCAAGGATAAAAGAGTTTAACTTTTCCATACAAATTTTTAAGTTTGAATGTTATTAAATTTTAAAATCGAATCTTATTAATTAAATTTTAAATTTAAATCTTACTAATAGAGTGTTACTCAGCTCCAATGATGCGCCACAAAAACTGCAACTCGCCTGTCACAATTACCTTTCACTAATTTGTAAAATTTAATTTTAGTTAATATTTGTATAAATAAGCTATTCAGTAAGAAAAAGCTATTAAATAGGAGTAATAGATATCAATGAAACTAAATGTATTTATAATATGTAATCCCTCATTTAGTCAATGGTGATCATGTTGTCCATTGGGCAACAAAAAAAATGTATCAAATTTTAAGGTTCGACTCTCTCTAATAACAATAGATACTAACATTTATAATATTTTTATATAATCTTAACAATTATTCATGTCATGACTATTGTGCTATAAGATTGCAAGCACGAAAATATTAAAAAAAGATTTTTTGAATAAATTATTTCATTTCTTAATTTTAAATATTAAAATGAGTTTTATGTTTTATTATTTAATATTTAAACTACACTTTTAATAATTTTAATATTTAAAATGTATTTTAAAAGTATAGAGTGGCTTGCAAACACTTTTTTTTTTTAAAAGAAACATTGGTTCAATTTTGAATTTGAAAATACAGATAAACACACATTTATGACGTGGTTACTTTTAAAACCACTATTATTTAATTTTGAATTTAATTTCAAGTGTATATATATACATAACTTTTAATTTTAAATTAAAAAATAATTTAAAAACAATCCTTTTGTATTATCTTTTAATATAACTTTATGTAGCAATTAAATAATTAATTTTTTTATTCATTTATAATTTATGATATTAAATGTACTTACTTATTTAATATAAAAAGAATGTATAAAATATTATCTTCATATCACTACTTTTTTAAATTTAAATAGTTTGGCTTCAGGTATAATTTTCAATTTTAAATTCAAAAAATTTGATTGATGTCATTTTTCCCACTTATTTATACTTTGGCTTTGTATTTCGTAAAATTGTGGTTTTTAATTTTAAATTTTAATTTCATAAATTTTAAAACTATTAAAAATCAAAATTAAAAATAAAAAAACTAAAAAATTATTTAAGACAAGTTTTAATACTAATAAAAAATATATAAATTTGTTTAATATTGTTTATAATATATTGCATAAACCCATAAAAGTAAATGAGTAGTTTATTTAAAACTGCAAAACTTGTAAAAATTGAAATGAAAAACTAAAAATCACAACTATACTAAAGTTGTATTTTAAAATTTTAAACTCGATAAGTTAATAATTTTAATTTTTATTTGATTTTTAATCGTTAATTTTGATTGTTTGAATTTTGAAAAGTAAAATAAAAAAAATTCAAAATCACAATTACACTAAACAAAATTTAAATAAATCTTAATAAAATAAAATAAATCATGAATAGAACAACTATTCTTTTTTTTTTTCTTTTTCAAATGCATAAGCCTCCATTTGTGTCTCTTTTTAGGTCACAACCAAATACGCTATAAATAATCTCTTTTTAATACATAGAAAAGGTTATGAATTTAAGTTACAAATATATTAGTGGAATGAGTTATGAGATGACAAAAAATTACCTTTTATTAGGTAATCTAAAAATAGATAAATAAATAACTAAGAGAGGTAGCCTGTGGGCAACAATGCTCATCAGTCTCATTCAGTTTATCAGCAGCCAGAAGGAGGAAATTAAACACAAATGAAGCACCAAGCGGAAATATATGCTCGGCAACAATCATCCCTTTTTTCAAAACCAACGGTGTTTTTCAAGAGAGAATATCATTTCTCTATTTCAAGAATGATCTCAAGGCCAGTCATGCTTTTTGGTATTGCGGCATGGTTTCCAATTGCGAAGGATGCTAATTGCTAGTCATACACCTATCGATGTGAAGGGAGACTGAATAATTTTTTAAAATGCTTTTAGGGTGTTTTTGGACAATATTATATTATATCTTATGATTAATTCCTTCTTGATTTGATTAAAGATAAATTTTTGTATTAAAATTAAAAAACTTATATAAAATTATTTTTTTATTAACCATTTTAAACTTTCTAGTAGTGTTTATAATTGTCAAGTAGTAATTGCATGCACTTGCTAAAAGTGTTGAACACTTAATATTAGAGAATAGGTAGCAAAACTTAAAAAGTTTTTACTTTAAAAAAAATGCTATTGTAAATATTAAAAAAATTAGAATACATTTAGCCAAATAAAATCTTAAAATTTAGGGTAATAAATTTTTAAAGAAATATTTTGGTCCAAGGGTCCTGGGCTGTGCAGGAAAGGAGGGCCCATTGATAAAGGAGAGTCACTGCTGCATGAAATCATAATACATGGTACTTGCGTTGTGGACAACATGTTAATGTTTTTTATCCTTTATGCTTTGGACATTCTCTTTAAAAGACTTGGACTCCAGTGTCCCTACTAACCCATTCCGGACGACTTTAGCTATAAATAAATTTGTTAAATAATTTTAAATACCCTTTTGTTTTACACATAATTTAGTTATTTTATAAATAAATTTATTTTAATTAAAGAAAAAATAAACTTTTAAAAACTTATTGCCTCAACTTTTAAAATTTTACTGTGATAAATTTATCTTAATTTTAAATTTTTTCTTAATATCTGTCATGGTTCAGAACCCAAATCTGGAGATATGGCAAACACCGTGCACTCGTGAGAGGGTCCCACAAATACACAAGGCTCGGAACTTACTGAATTCATATTAGCAATTCAGGTAATTCAGATCTAAGCCTTTTTAATTACCAAATAGTTACCAGTCGAATGTACAATATTTATCACTTCATATATACAATCATGACTAGCACTAAATTCTGTACACAAAATTTTCTATGTCAAGCATGGGTGACTAACGGCTTAGCTACAAAAACCTAAGTCCAAAAGTGCCTAGCCGTCTAGCTCGTCACTCCCCCAGGCTTCCCACGCGTCGGGTCTCACTACCTGAAATGGTGCACAAGGAAACCGTGAGATAGAAATATCTCAGTAAGTAAACATGGGGGCCCGACATCAAAGTTTAAAGCATGCCAAATAATCGGTTGAAACATGAACAAAGTGTTTCAATAACAAATCATTAATGCAAAATAAAATCATGTAGTGGTCTCCTCTATTAGTCATGGTTAGTGTTATAAACCTCCCACTAGCAGGCACACGAGTACTAGTGTATAATCCCCACTAGTAGGGCCACGAGCGAACCGGTTCTATCACGAACATGTCGACATGTGCTAGCATTTGTAAACCTCCCCCACTAGTGGGGTCACGAGTAACATGACCATATCGGAGACAAAACCAAGCAAGATTTACAGAAACCACGATTCACGATCGTTCTCACTTTCAAAAATAAACCAAAGAATTTCATGTGAGCATGCTTAATTCTAGAAAAGAAGGAAAATAATAAAAGTTCAAATTCCCTTTTTAGTCATGCTCAAATGCAAATAAATCCATTTAAACCTCGCCATCATCTCAAAAAACAATTAAAATATGCTTAAAAAATTTACGGGCTTTACCATAATTTACTTACCTTAATTACACAGGACAGAAGGCCTAATCCCAGTGCTAAGGCCACAAGACAATCAAGGACCTAATCACAATGTTCCCAATTAATATCTATGTATACACAATTACACAATTACACAATTACAGATATACAATTTCTCAAACTAATGGACAGGAATTTGGGAGAACCGGCTTTGACAAAAAAATGGCAATTTCACAGAATTTTTCCTCCCTTTTTCTCAGACACACACACAACAGCCAAATTAAGGATTTTCTACTTAAATCATCAACCAATCCATTTTCAAATTGCCAAAACTCATCCCCCACCTCCGGCATCTTGTTTTTGGACAACCCAAACACCCACACAACCAATTAAGCTCACAAGCAGCAATTAATCCACCAATTTTCGGAGATTAGAGAAGCCAACTTACCAGAAATGCTCAGCAAGCAAGGCTGGAGCTGGCGGTATGGGGAAGAGCCGGCGGGAAAAATTAGGGGACTTTCACGGGGCCACTAGCAATTGAAAGAACAACAAGATTAGAGTGACCCAACATAAATCAAGGCTGAAAAGAGGAGTTTCTGGGCTGATTTTACCAGGAAAAACCGAAGCTTATACCCAGCAACAGCCGGTAGCAGGGAAGGGAGAAGCAGAGCAGATCCGGCGGCTTTTCTGCAAGAGAGAGAAGTTCTAAGTTCTAGACTTGTTCTTGGGCAAGAGGAGAACAAAAATCATCAAGTTCTCGTACCAATTTTTCGGATGAAGGCGCTGGAAATGGCTGGGTTCACTTCGGCTGAGGGGAGAAAGAAAACAGAGCAGACACGAAAATGGCTGGGAAGAAAGAAGGAAAGAAGAAAAAGATAAAAAGGAATGAGTCAGCCGACCTTATCTAAAAAGATTTTTAACCCCTTTAAAGTTTGAAAAACTGACGGTTAGATCCATTAATAATGTTTTCTCACCATTAAGTCCCTAACTCACACTTATTTGTTCTTGAAATTTTGGGGTATTACAATATCTATAAATTAAAGATGTGTATTTATAAAAGTCCTATAAAATCAAATAACGTATATTAATTTACAAAATAAATACAAATTACAATAAATTTAAAAGTAAACAAGAAACAATCTTTGATTTAGGAGTTGCAATGCATGTGTTAGAGTTTTCTTGAAAAGTAACATGTCCTAGAATAACACAATTATCTAATTAATAACTGAATTTAAAAGGGTGAGGGCTAACTTGATTTTGTCCTTCCTAAGATTGGAGATTTGTTTTTTGAAACTTTTCGTCTTTGGTAGGGATTCGGAGTTTACTCT